GTTAAATATTCTTTGGGTAAAAATCATTCCATCTAATTTCCCTCTTCTTTGATCTCTTCTGCTTATCCTTTTTGGTGAATTCTTAATTAATTATTGAATAATTTTCCCCGAATAAAAAAATAATCATTAAATAAATAAATAGATGTATGTGTATAAATATATATGATCTGCAAATATAATTTTGATATGATTAAGATGAGCAAATAAATTACAACCAACGATAGGAAAATTTACATAAAAGCAATTGGAGAGGATAGTTGTGAAGGAGTTAAAAAAAAAAAAAGAAAAAAGAAGGAAAAAAGCCTAAGCAAATGTAGACGGAACAAAGCATTTGTGGATGGTATAACGATCAACAAAACCTATCACAACGCTAATGCAATACTGAGAGATTCGTACAGTTTCGAATGGAAAAAAAGAAAAGGAAAAAAAAAAGAGTTCGATAAATGGAAATCTGGGAAATTTTTTGAGATAAAATAAAGGGACCAACAAAAAACAAAAATGCAAATTATCTACAATTTTAACTATAAATTAAATTAACTCAATCAGTTGATCGAATTGAATGGTTTAAAACAAAAAAAAAAAAAACTAATTCTTAACTATAATTTAAGATATAAATGGGAGTGCTCAGGTAATTACTATTATTTTGATAAAATTATTCAAATTCGAATTCAATAATGTATTGTTTCTTAATTATCAAAATATTCAAAAATACTTTAATTTTTTTAAAAATTTGAATTTTTTTTCTTTTCAGAAATACCTCATCAAATCGATCACAATCGACAAATTCTCTAGAAGATGAGAATGATGATAATTCTATGGATGCATTTTTGACTGACTTATCCCTTTCAACATCAATTTTAATGAAAAACATAACGGTAACTTTATCAGCTGCTAAAACATTATCGGTTAATACGATTCCTACCATGGCGACAGTACCTCAAACAACTATCACTAAAGCATCATTACCTGAAACAGTACCGATTACTGATATAGTTAATCGAACAATACCCATACACATCGACGTAAAACATGAAGTAAAATCTGTTAATACAGTTCATGCTACTGAAATAATACCTGAAACAAAACCTGTTAATATGATTGTCGGTACTGAAACGGTAACTAAAGCGACGACATCCATTAATAATACAGTTTCTGGAATGAAACCGATTTTCAGTCATTTGCTAAATTCACATTTAAAATCTGCTACACTGGGTAATCAAAAATCATTACCAAATATAAGTAATTCTTTGTTAAAACCTGTTATTTCTCTTGCTACAAGTACCATGAAGATGACATCATCATCTCAAACTGTTAGTGCAAATGAAGATAAAATTGCCGAAAGAAGTTTTCCACTACCATATTTGAAAATTGAGCAACAAAAAATTCCTCAACAAAATGATAATAATGATAAATTAAAAATGGAACCAAACAATATCCGATCAAAGGCAAGTAGTACCAGTCCAATTATTACTCACAGTCAATCAGCACCAAAAACACCATTAGATCAATGGAAATGGGAAATGAACCAACAACAACAGTTAATTAATCAGAATTGGATTGATAGCAATGATAGTGATAATGATAATCATAATGATCATAATAATATTGTTAGTAATAGTAATACAATACTTTCATCATCTATTTTTTCCATTCCATCATTTTTACTTTTATTATTTTTACTTCCATTGCTATCCTTACGGTATCATTTATATGTATTTATTTTAATTTGAATTAAGAAAAAAAAGAATATTGCACAATATTATTATTCATTATTATTCATTATTGTTCAATTACTATTCATTATTGTCATGAATCAAAATTATGGTGATGTTAAAAAATAAACGTGATATATTTATTAACTTATTACAAGTAAATTATGTTTAGGATTTTGCAAAAAAAAAAGGAAGGTTAAACAACAGGACCAAGTATTAAGTCTAATTTTAGTTTTCACTTTAATTGTAATATCACATAATTTCACTGTTATATTATCATATGAAAAGAAGTAATATGAAATACTAATTTTGGAGAGTTTCTTTTTTACTAAAACAACTGAAAAAAAAATTAGCAGCGTTTAGACGATAAATGATAAAAAATCAAATCAATTCATAACTTTTTTCTTTTTTTATACAAATTCATTTTTTCAACTAAAGAAGGACAAGCATTAATTTCATCACGAATTTATTAAAATGCTCAAAATTCGTGAGCTTGCATGCTTATCTGCAATTTACTCATCATACAATTCAAGATAAATGAAAAATTTTTGTTCTTTATATTGAATTTCATTTTAAAAAAAATTTTCATTAATGCAAAAAAAAAAATATTCCGCTTTATGCATACCGACAAAGGTATTAAAATAAATGGAACCAAATTTGCGGTAGAATTTATTATACCAATACATTGATTACGTAAATGATTCCATGCATACCTATGATTTCTATTAAACTTAACGCGAATTCATTTATGTATTTATCTAATTTTGTTTGATCTCCTAATATTGATTGACTTTTATACTATCAATTTCATTCTTAAAAACTGATGAAAATAGTCAGTAAAATGATGGAAAAAAACGGTTGCCGTTTCGTAAATAGGATAAATCCAAAATATATATAGAACACTCATATTAAGCTTTATTCATTCATTAAACGCGTAAAATTCCATTCGTTCAAGCAACATTTCACAAGAGAATTTTAAGCATAATAATTTTTTCATGAACTTCAAGGAAACAGAGAAAAGCAATTCCTAATTTTGGAAAAACTTCGTGCTCAATTAATTAGTGTTGGAAGGGAATTGCAACCTCGTTAAGCGATTTTTTTTGCAATAACTTTGAACTTCAAGTCCACTGCAAATATTCCCAAAGCACCTTTCTATGAATATGAATTATTCGACTATGCCGTGTAAAAAAAAAAAAAAAAACATGCGAATATTTTCTTCTTAATATTTACAATAATAATATTGCTCTCGCAATCAACAACGATATATTAATTATTGAATTACTCTCAAAGTAAGAAGCGAGGAAAAGAAGAGAACAGACTGCATATCAGTAATTCTAAGAGAAAATTTTTCCGAATTACGAAAAAAAAATCATTGATTCTTGATAAGATCCAAATTTATCATGAAAAGTTTGTGAGAAAAGAAAAAGACATAAAGCTATTGATTCCTAAGCAACAATGGATGGGTTTTTCGACTCCGGCACAAAATTATCATAAAAACTGCGTGTCGCTTGTGTCATTAATTCTTGCGTTGATTCTGGTAAATGTCCAATAATGGTACCTGAAAATGAATATGATGCGTAATAATTCGCAATATAATTAAAAAGCATCGTTCTATAGGAAGTAATACTGTTCGATTTATTCAAGTAAGTGAATTGGTAAAAATTTTTGTGAATTATTTAAATTCTAAAATATCGAACGGAATTACCATTGGAAAAATCACTTCGTTATTTAATATACAAAAGAATCAAATAATGAGAAAGATAAAATACCTGGATTACCTCCTACAATGGAAAAAGGTGGAATAACAGCATCATGTGGCACTACTGTATTTGACAGCACCTGTACACAGCTCTTAATTATTACACTACGACCAATTACTACATTATTACCAATATGTACAAATGCTCCAATCTCGGCAGCCATTACTATACAATCCTTAAAAAGCAATAGGCATCAAATAAATTGAAAGAATTGAAAACTCCAAACTTTCTTCATAATGATCAATTGCAGATGACTGAAATATGCTGAAATTTGCGTTAAATGTTTTTTATATTTTTATCCACATTTGTATATGCTTTAAAAGAAAGAAATATTGATATAAAAAAACTTACATTTCCAATAAATACATGATCACCAATATGCACAGGAAAGAATGTCAATCCTTTACTGAAACGTTTATAGGATGGTCGAATGACAGTACGCTCACCAACAACACAATATCTACCGGTTCGAATATTATGCATATCACCACGTAAAATACAATCTTTCATTAATGTTGACTGAAATGAAATTAAGAAAAAAAAGCAAATCATTTAGCAAAAATTTTGACAGATTAAAATAATAACAAAACTTGTATAAGAAGGATTTCTTATATTTTCAATATTTCATTAATGAATATGATAAGTGAATTGATCAACTCATTATAGTGGTTTGAATTAGATAACAATCGTTGTGATATCAGCTTGATGTCGTAACAGTGTTCCTAATAAAACCTAATTAAAATCTAAGCTAAAAATGACGTGACAATACAGACATTATAGGGTATTAATAATGCTCATTAAGAAATTGAGAAACTATCGATTATATCTTACATTAATTTTTTATAAAAATTTCATGGGTTTTTATATTAAAAAATCTGTATCAACTTACTTTTCCATTCAGTACAATATTCTGACTACCGAATAATCTTGATTTCCGATTTACCTTGTTACCCGTAGCTGTTTCCACATATTCGGATTTATCATAATAAATTGTTTGTATATCCATCAGAGTTTCAATCACTCAAATGCTAAAACAAAAATACTACAAATAGGAATTAGAAAATTATAAATCTAAATTGATTTTTTAAAAAAAAAGCTCGAGAAATTGGCCACAATTAAAGTCGAAGCCAAAAGAATGAATTAAATTATGTGAAAATGAACAAATTGATTTTAAAGTTAGGGTAAAAGTAATGTCTGAAGAAATTAAATGCTTTGCATATCCAACCTCTATCTAAAGCAGATGAAAATATTCTCAATATGACAATCAATAATTCCTATTTTTAATCCCAAGTAGGATGGAAATAATAATGAAATAAATTAAGACTTCACTTCTCTTAGAACTTCTGCGAAATCAATAATTTGCAGTACTCGACTGCTAACTTAAATTAATACATATTCGAAAACAATAATGATTTCACATTTTGGAATCAGGTTTTACCATCAATAACAAATATTCTACCAGTAATGACAGTGTTAGCAGAAGTACGCTCCGCTTCATTTAAATTGATTAAATTAGATTAATGAATTACGAACGAACCTATGTAGGAATTTAATTTCATCTGATGAATTCAAAAATGTGTTTGAAAATACGGAATTTCCCGGAAATGATGTATACGAAAAATTCTTTGAAATAATATTTATTTCAATAATTTCAAACATAACAAAATCTAGAAAAAAGAATTATTTGATTAAGTGGAACGATAGCACACATACAGATTTGAGCCATTCATTTACACAATCCCATAGGAAATTTAGAAAATAAAAAAGAAAAATAATTTAAAATCTGATCAGGAACGAAATAGTCAAGAAATTCCGAATCCATTTCTAATACGTAAAAAATGTAATTAATCTAACCCGCTGCTAAAAGTATGTAAATGGTTTAATGGTCAGTATATACTTATTGACTATCCGAACATTTAATGACACATTCAGTTAATCGAAAATGGTAGCAATGATAAGAACACATCGGACTGTTTCTTTTAACCACAAAAAAATCTTTACGATGATAGCCATCAAGGCCAGAATTTCTAATAATATGTCTACTACATAAATTGAAAGTCAAACTAAAAAGCTCACGTATATATATCCGAAGCGTATCGCATACAATTCTAGCACCATATATCTCCTATCGTATATTTCAATGCAACCATTATTTAATAAATATCAGAGTTTCCTCAGATAATTTATACTGACTAATTAATGGCATATAGGTGTTGACTAATTAATGGAATATAACTATGTGCTGGGATTTGTCAAAACAATAAAATATTTCAATTAGCCATCCATTTGTAGACGCTGGATGACGGTTGGTTAAAGATTGCTAATTAGTAGAAAAAGAAAAAAATAATATGCAAATTTTGAAGTTTAAGCCCAAAATCAATAAATTAAGCTACAAAGATTAATGAATTAAATAAATAAATTTACAAATCAAGACTCTTAAAAACTAGAACATAAGTTAAAAGAATGACGGAATGGCTGCTATTACATAAGAAAAGTAACAATGTCACTGAGGAAGAGAAGCGATTACAAAATCCAGAAAAAGTTTCAATTCTTCAATCAATTATGGAAGAATTCGAATACTGAAAATCTGAACTTCCTCCACCTGTTCCTGTGCAGAAAACTCAGAGATATTTGACCCGAATTGATCACCAAATATAAGACGATTGCCCTATTCGCAAGTGTGTTCTCATTAATATGAATATTCAATAATAAGCTCAAGAAATAGAGTATTGCCGAAAATGACGTCATGGAAGTACTGAAACGAAATGTGGAAACAAGATATTAAAAACGAATTGATGTATGAAAATATCAAACATAAAATATGAGTTTGATTCGAAATTAAGTGTTAAAAATCAAGATGCTGTTTTGGGTGCGACACATTACGTTTCAAGGCAAGTCGTAATAAATAAAATAAAAATGTTAACAGTAAAGATAGTGACAATGATCGGATCGGGTAAGTATAAAAAAAAGTAACGATTAAACCCGGATAAATCAAATCATACAATCACATCGATATGTGAGGAGAATGAATATAACGAAGCATAATATGTTTTATTAATTATAATGTTGAAAAAAAAATCCCGTTTCAGAATGCATAAGCAATAACTCTTACTATTGACATAAATTTCTTGCATACTTTAAATTGAGTGATTTCAGCAAGCAGTCTCCAAAATAGTATCCCATTTCAAGCAAAACTATTCACATAAATTATTCTGAATTATTTCTCTTTCATTCTTAAAAGTGAACAAATGAAACTTAATAAGTGTATACTTCGCTTGGACAAAGAAAAAATTGAATATATGAGCACAGTAAAGAATGTGCGACTAGTTCCAACATTATATCAAAAACTCAAGTAAGTGCGCCGAATACTGGATTGTAACGACAGATACTCGGTCCTTTCTCCATGTATTCCGCTTTTGTATGTGCCACTTCGTAGAATTCAGGCTGAAAACTCAAATTTTTAAAATTATAAAAATTTCTCTTCGCAAAATTTTGTTATTATTTTTTTAAGCACCAAGACACAATAAAATATATGCAGAATTAGTTTTTCAAAGAGGATAATCACTTTTTGCTTTTTCAATGAAGTTAATTCATGTTTAGAATTTATGTCAGCGCAGTTCACGAAATGAATTTATGATTAGCATAGCATATCACTAATAGAAATCGATCGTTGATCGTGCCATTCTTAATATTACAAAAAGCTGGATATTAAGAGGAAAACCTATTAATCCTTTCAGCCTCCTCGTTTTTCCCTTTTAGAACCTTTTTTGCAAAATTCACAATGATTTCTTTCATTTCTCATCATTATCTGATAACAGCATGAACTCTTATGCAATCAATAACTTTTCATCCTTCCAAAGATAGGAGCTGCTCCTTATCATATTCATTTCATCATATATAAGAATAAAGATTTTTGAGACGAATATGCATACATACCGTATCTGCAAGAGTACTACCGCCAAACCATACTGCGTACCGTTGCATTTTATGAGATACGACTTGCACATCGATTGGCTTAGGCTAAAAAAAAAATTTTGATCAGAGGAAACAATTATACTGGTAGTCTGAGAAGGAAATAAATCGCAGAATAAATTGAAGACAGTGTGATATCCCCTATGTTCATCCACGTAAATTGACAAAAGTGAAGGAGATTATAGATCAGCCTAAAACCAAAAATAATGAAAAAGTTGTCAGTCTGATAAAGATAATCCACGAATCGCTATCCGTAATGCTCAAAGAAATATCAAACCTAAAGAAAACATTTAAATTACCGTTAGCCGTCCACCTGATAATTCCTCGCTTAACGCTAAACGAGCGTTGGAAATTCGCTTAATATCACGCTGCATACGTCGAGCGAAATCTTTAAACATTGTTGAACCGCCAGATAGAACGATATTCTCGTAGAGACCACGACGCACATCAATGGGACATTGTTGAATTACCGTATCCACAATTTCAGAGATCGGGGCTGTGAAATCTGGATTGGCAAACTGAAACGGATCGGTGAATTTCAAGGAAATTCATTACATAACAAATGGAAAAAATGATGGAATTTTCGAAGTAGAAATCTACAAAGTAAGAAATATTTTTAATTAGAGCTGGAAGAAAACCTTGGAAATACAACAGCTAACGAAGTTAAATGAAATTCTTTAAGTATTCCAAAGAAATATCACTCCATTATTATCTTGAAAAAGATAAATCCTACTTCCGGATGGAAAAAAATTTCTGGACCGAGAAATCGTTCATATCCTACATCAACCGTAAATGATTTTTTGGTTACGTTATTTATTCCATCATATGTTTTAAACCATTTTGCTGCATCCGTATCATATTTCACAAATTCACGTAAGATATCCGGACAAACATAGCAATATTTTTCCTAAAAACACACCTCATTACTTGAATAGACTGATTAATCGCTTAGCAAAAGGGTCATTAATCCTACTTTTTATAGAGTTATTAAATCACCAAAAGAAAACTGCTTGCTGAAAAATATGTATTGATCAGCCTTTTGTCAGATCTTGCCACATGAAATAAACGCCTACAAAGGTCATGCATATCATCATCAAAAGTGAGAGTAAATGGAGCAAATTTTCTTGAGATATACTCACGTACAATAAGCAATAGCATAAATATTTCAATTGAATCTTAAAGTCGGAAAACATAAAACTCACTTTGATCGATTTTGCAACTTCATAACTCTGATCCGACGGCACTGTGTTTTCGCGTTCTCGAAGTAATTGCTGTATGAAATAGGTAATATCTCTTCCAGCAATAGGTATGTGTTTGATACATGAACCGATTACATAACCTTCCGCAACAGGAATACAATGTGTTACACCATCACCGCTATCAACAACCTAGGATATCATAATATTAACGAAGAATTGTAACGAACGCTTAATCTCGTTTGTTAGTTTGATTACCTCAATTCTTCACTTGAGCTTTGCCGAAAATATAAGCAAAAGCGTGACCAAACCCAAGTTAGCAAAAATAGGTAGTGGATTTCTCACATTTCGCCACACACTATTATTTACGACTTTCTTCACTCGTAAATTAATCTATAACAGTGCTCAATACAAGCAGACTGCGGTAAATAGTATCTTTTCTTCTTCCTTAAAATATTTTTATAGCAACTTTATTTCAGCATTTTTCTCCATTGGTTGCACAAAAGATGCTATTTTGTGCCAGCTACCTTTTCAAACAATCCTGCTTTGAAAAACGATAAACGAATATATGTATTAAAACCGAAAAATAAATATATGCTTTGAAAAAACGAATATAACTCACCAATCCTGTCAATGGACGATGCAGTAAATCTCGACTTTGCCAAGAAGCTGCAAGAGCTAGTACAGCCTGCACAGCAATATATAAACCAGGCACGTTGAATGATTCAAACATAATTTCAGCTGTGTATTCACGATTTTCTGGCGTATTTAAAGGTGGCTCCGTCTGGAAATAATTGAAATTGAAAATAGAAGTTTCTGAATTGACAGAAATGATCGA